AGCAGTAGTCATCCATCACCATACATAGGTCACGCGTTTGTAGCATAACCCGAGTCTCCGTAGTTCGTCCGGCTCAACATATCGGCCATTGTGTTGATCCCCAAATTCGCGCACAACATGCTGCATGATTGGTTCACGGAGGTTGACCTCCTTGCCATTGGAGATCGTTGCATGTGGCGCACCTTTCTTCGGACTGTCCGACATCTTCACATGGCCAAGAGCACGTGGGATGCTGAATGTTTGTCAACGACCCAAAAGTACTTACGCAATTAGCTGGACACATCCGAGGTTTTACACACTAGCAAACATAGAGTACACATGGAATTTGATGCCATGAAAACTTGCTACAGCTTTTTTATTTGGAATACAGAGAGAAAGAAGGGTCGTTGCACGACCGACCTAAACACACACCACGTTCCTAATGACTCGTGCCATCCCACGGGTCAGATCGTGCGTGCATGATCTACGGCTCCACTATTATCACGTGTGATCCGATGTGCCATGCCATCCCATGACTCGGTTCACGACGCGGTAGAAACGGGAGCGACCCCAACCTGACACATGGACTCGACGCAAACATGCTTGCCGTCGAGACCGACTCTCAGCGCACACCGCGTGCTTGCAGGCAGTTCTATGGCGCGTTATTTAGAACAAACAGAGTCACGCGAAGCCCTCGATCCACAAACCCACATCGCGAAGTTGTCTTAGTGGATCTCGTCATTCTCCGAGTCGATCTCATCATTCTCCGAGTCAGATAAGTGGTTGTCCACCTGCTCGTGCCTAGCCTGCAACGCCGTCAACCACAAACACCACATCAAAATACCGTTACATTCCATCATCACCAGGCGGAAAAACTGAAAACCTTGGAAAAATTGAAAGGAGATCGAGTTCATACCCTCCTCATCTGGGCACGGCGGTTCTTGAACCAGAGTTTGATATGCTGGGGCTCCACGCGAAGCTCATGACCGAGATGAGCGCGCTGGGCCTCATCGGGGTTGGGGCACTCCATGAAAACACTGCAGTTTTGAAAAAAGAAGAAGATGATGAAAACCTTGAATACCGTGCACCATGGATCACCATGAAAATACGACACGAAAAATAAGCTGTAGGAATGGTGCTTGATCAACCTCTCGAGGATCTGAATCTGTTTGTCACTTAGATCCATTGTTACCAATTTCTCGCTCACTCTCCCAGGCTGGCTAGAGGAAGAGGAATTGGAGGCAGGAAGGTATCTTCGTACTGGATGCTGTGCGACCTCTGCCTTGCTCCTATTTATACACGAGAGGGTGGCGTTTCTCCTCTGTCACACTGCTGTGTGACCTCTGGCTTATTAGAAGTCTCCTGGACGGTCTCTCTTAATGCCTCCTCCTTTTTGGCTTCTTCCACCCTATATTGCTGACCGTCCGTCCCTGTATTGCTCGGGAGCGCCAGCAGCAGAAATGTTCGCTTTGACTTTTGACCACCTCGGTTCGCTCGCCGGCTGTCTTGGAGGTTTCTCTTTATGCCTGCTCTCTCTTGGCTTCGTCCCTGGCTTGCTCGGAGGCGCCAGCAGTAGCGTGGTAGTACCAGTAACTAATGCGATGTGAGAAGCTTATACCAAAAAATTCAAATCATAGTACAGGTCAATTGGGTTTATTGAGCTGCGATGTACTCCCTCGGTAAAGAAATATAAGAGTGTTTAGATTACTAGTGATCTAAACACTCTTGTATTACTTTGCGGAGGGAGTAACAAGCAGTGCATTCAGATTTAAACCATGTAATCTATAGTTTCATTTAGTAGAATTTGCAAAGCACTTCAAATCAAACAACTTCAGAGTTTATGGACCTGCATCGGTACGAGCCCTACTGGGTTTGGATGCAACAAACAAATGCAGAGTGACCTGAAAATGGCCGGTGACCTGTCTTGAGTTCGTAATTTCTCCCCTCCCACAATTACCATTGTTCCTCTTGTAGAAAGGGAGATAATTAATCCTGAAGGTACGTCCATGTATTGGTTGTTAACCATTATAATAAATTCTGCAATATTTTAGCATGAAATTGATAGGCATTAATTTCCAGCCTCTTGCTTATGTATGGATATCAAATTAATCAATAGTACAGGTGGTTCATTATCCTCTAAATCATAATATTCGAATTCTAAGTAAGAAGAGTAGCATAACAATGACCAACCTATTATTGCAAGCCCTATCATGTATCATTAGGCTAGATATGGCAATATGTTTGCTTCAGTGCACCATTGCACTCCTTTTACAATGGATGTTCTGTTACAAAATCTCTTCATCTAGATGGGAGATTATATTTAGTCTTGTTTTCTTATTAAACATGAAACAACACAACGTCAAGATCTTGATCCACAATTCTTGTTCCATATATATTTGATTCGAGTGAAAGTTCTGAAGTAACATGCCTTTCTTATTTCCTGTCGTTTGTTCCAAAAATACGATATATCCTTCGGCCATAAAACTACAACAACTCATAAGAACTACAACCATTTCCCTCTTGCAAAAACTTTTTCTTACTTCCTCCACAACCATTATACCTACCGTGCATATCCATGATGAACCCTGACCGCACCAACGCACACCATCTAATCCGGTGGCCTCACGAAGTCGCCGCCTGCGAGCCAAGAGCACCAACCGGCATAGCAGACCCATAGCGCATACCGCATGCGCTCGCTCTAGGATCCCGCGCTGCCGTCTACCGCCGTCCCATATTCAAGAGGGATCCTTGCACTAACCTTGGCAGGCCCAACTGCCGTTGACACCGCCACGACACCAGACAATGCCACCAGTCTGCCTGCATCCATCAACCCACCTCCAACGCCGATACTCCACCGCACCATGCTACCGAGACCCATCGTTTTTGACGCGGTAGATGCAACACCGCTCCACCTCTTAGCCCCTCCAGTCAGTACCTACTCCAAAATAGTACCCCCAGGAGAGAGAATGACACAACTCTCCATCATCATCCGACCTGGGAGACCCAGATCTACGGTTTCCCTGGAGCAGATGCCTCCTGGAGGAAGAAGGACAAGCCATCTGCAGTTGCCACCGAAGCCAAACGGTGCCCACCCGCCTAACTAGCCATTTTCTTGGAGTTGTGTTGTTGTTCTTCAGCATCCTTGTACAATGCCTTGTGTGCATGTGTTGTGATGTCATGTCGTGTTGTGTTGTATGTGCTGAATTGTCTGGTTAGTATATAAAGTGGAGCGGAAGTCTTTTTGATAAACAGTGAGATCAATTGCCCAGTTGAAACTTGAAAGTGCATTTTTTGATTTTGACAGCGGAAGTCGGGGCCAAGGGCCGACCTCATGCGCAGGAAAAGGGGCAAGCACACGTACATCCCACATGTACCCAAGCTTTTTTCTTCTTTTGGTTGCTTGTTGTTTGCTTGCGCTTAATGCTACGAAATTATCAATTGATTAATATATTTGCTTGAATAATGCATTATCATCTGATTTCTTGCTTAGATTGATGTGCTCTCTATTTTCAAACAGTTTTGGTCTGGGCCTATTTTGCTCAATTGGATAATTTATGTGCACAAATTTATGGAATCAAAATAAGTCCGTTTATTTTCTTCTGTTTCCCTTTTTTTTGTTGGCGTTCGATGGGACATATGTTTCGAGAAACCTAACCCAATTAATTTACCAAATGCTGACCTTTACTTAATCATGTCCCAACCATTCCTTGT